CTGGGCGGCTCGACGTGGGGCCTGACGTTCCAAGATATGAGGAAGATCTACCGAGGAGTGGTGGTGCCACAGATTATGTACGCATGCTCTGCGTGGTCAAACGCGAACTGGAGAATACGAAACATGCCGTACACTAACAAAACACTGGTAAACTTGCAAAGCCTGCAGGCAAGGGCGGCCAGATCAATCTCTGGTGCCTTCAAAGCCACGTCAACCCCAGCCTTGGACATCGAAACACATCTTCTCCCTATCGAACATCAAATCTGGAAACACAATATTGAATGTCTAGGAAGAATCGGCCTCGGGGAACAAGACCTCAGGGAAGAAGAACCACAGCATGGTGCAAATGGCCAAAGGATACGGAAGACGAGAATGAGCCCACGTAAAGCAATACAGAAGGCCATACAGGATGAACAAGGATGTAACATAAAAGGATTGGAAGTAGTAACCCCGCACGTCGTCCCACCATGGTGGACAAGCCCCAAAACGTTCATCGAAGAGAGCGCCGAGAAGGCCCAAGAGAGACATCAGTACAGCATCGACAACGAGCCAAGCGCCATCCATATATATACGGATGGAAGCGGCATCAACGGTCATGTGGGCGCTGCAGCTGTGTGCACGACTACCAGTCAAATCAAGAGTGCTTACATGGGCGATGACGCTGTTTCGACGGTGTACGCCGGCGAGCTCCAAGGGATCTCTCTAGCTTTGCAGATCGCCCAAGAAGACAGAAACCGAGGCAACATCAGAAACAAAGTCCTGATATACACAGACAATCAAGCAGCCATCAGGTCGGTGGCGAGGCCAAGAGGTAAATCGGGGTCATATCTTCTCCAAAACATAACGCGTCGAGCACAAGAACTACGAGAGCAAGGCCTGACCGTCGAGATTAGATGGATTCCCGCCCACACAGGAATATATGGCAACGAAGCAGCCGACAAAGCGGCCAAAGAAGCTACAGGATGGAGAATGAAAGGACCACCAGGGCCAAAGGCACAGCGACCCCGAGTCCTGCACTCACTGAGATCTGCATTGAAGCTGTGGACGAGCATGGTCATCAACAAAAGGTGGCAAGCACAGTGGCGGCAGGAAACCAGAGGCCGGACAACCTTCCGACACACACCAGAGCCAACACCAAGAGTGCTACAGCCACACAAGAACTTCAG